TTATAGCAGCAATGTCCACAATAGCCAAACTATGGAAAGAGCCAAGATGTCCATCAACAGATGAATGGATAAAGAAGATGTGGTATATATCTACAATGGAATATTATGCAGCCATCAAAAGGAATGAAATCTTGCCATTTGCAACGACATGGATGGAACTGGAGGGTATTGTGCTGAGTGAAATAAGTCAACCAGAGAAAGACAAGTATCATATGATCTCACTGATATGAGGAATTCTTAATCTCAGGAAACAAACTGAGGGTTGCTGGAGTGGTGGGAGGTGGGAGGGATGGGGTGGCTGGGTGATAGATATTGAGGAGGGTATGTGCTATGGTGAGCACTGTGAATTGTGTAAGCAGACCTGTACCTCTGAAACAAATAACACATTATATGTTAAACAAAAAAAGAAGAAGAAGAAGATAGTAGGAAGGGAAAAATGAAAGGGGGAAATCGGAGGGGGAGACAAAGCATGAGAGACTATGGACTCTGAGAAACAAACTGAGGGTTTTAGAGGGGAGGGGGTGGGGGGATGGGCTAGCCCGCTGATAGGTATTAAGGAGGGCACATATTGAATGGAGCACTGGGTGTTATACACAAACAATCGTGGAACACTACATCAAAAACTAATGATATAATGTTTGGTGACTAACATAACATAATAAAATAAAAATAAATAAATAAATAAAACAGTTATTTTGCAGCATAAGAAGAACTAAACCAATTCTTTGCTATGTCAGTTTATATAGATTTTTTTTAGGAGAGGCCTAGTCCAATACAAAATATTATGTCATGACTGGAAATAAAAGTCTTGATATATTTCTAAAAAAAAAAAGTGAAAACAGGGGGCGCCTGGGTGGCTCAGTCGTTAAGCGTCTGCCTTCGGCTCAGGTCCTGATCTCAGGGTCCTGGGATGGAGGCCTGCATCGGGCTCCCTGCTCCGCGGGAAGTCTGCTTCTTTCTCTCTCACTCCCCCTGCTTGTGTTCCCTCTCTCGCTGTGTCTCTCTCTGTCAAATAAATAAATAAAATCTTAAAAAAAAAAAAAGTGAAAACAGGAAAAATATTCACACTACATATATCTGACAAAAGACATACTGAAGATATATAAACTTAAAAAGTAAAAGCATACAATCTAATTTTTATTTTTTTAAGATTTTATTTATTTATTTGACACAGAGAGAGCACAAGCAGGGGGAGCAGCAGGCAGAGGGAGAGGGAGATGTAGGCCCCTGCTGAGCAGAAAGCCCCCGGGGCTCAATCCCAGGACCCCGGGATCATGACCTGAGCCGAAGGCAGACACTTAACCAACTGAGCCACCCAGGCATCCCCAATCTAATTTTTAAAAGTGGACAAAAATTTAAAAAAATAAAACAAGATATAATCAGAAAGGGAGACAAACCACGAGAGACTCTTAACCATAAGAAGCAAACAGGGTTGCTAGAGGTGAGAGGGGTGGGGAATGGGGTAACTGGGTGATGGGCATTAAGGAGGGCATGCGATGTAATGATCACTGGGTATTATATACAACTGATGAATCACTGAACTCTACCTCTGAAACTAATAATACACTATATGTTAATTGAATTTAAATTTTTAAAAAGTAGACAGAAAATTTGAGCAGACACTTTAAAAAGAAGATATTCAAATGGCCAATACTACGTGTGAAAGATGCTCAACATCATTACTTATCAGGGAAATATAAGTTAAAGTTGCAATGTGATACCACTGAATACTCAATAGATTGACTACAATTAAGAAGATATTACAAAATTTTTGTAGGATTTGGAGCAACTGAAACTCTCAAATATTGATGTGGGAATGCGAAATTACATAATCACTTTGGAAAACAATTTGACAATTCTTAATAAAATTAAACATAAACCATATGTCTATAAAAAAATCTTGTACAAAATATTCATAGCAGCTTTATTCATAATAGAAAAAACTAAAAACAATTCCAATGTTCATCAACAGGAATTAGACAAATCATCAGTAAAAGGCTATACACTTAGATTTGCATTATTTTTCTATATGTAAACTATACTTCAATTTTAAAAGAAGTTGGATGACCTAGAGATAATGAGCAGAGACTTTGGGACTATCAGCACTGGTGCACAGTATAGATTAATACCAGGCAAATGTGTGCTTCATCTGAAATTAAGGGACAGTATAAGAAAAATATCTTTGGAAATTTGGGGAGGTGCAGAGATGGGAATGAGAGGGACAGGGATGATGCTACCTATCACCTCACAAAAATTATCTCCACCTTACAAAATGTCTGTGTCTTGTGAATCCAACTGATGTGAGTCCAAGACAACATCTGCATGTCCAGACAGGAAACATTGCTGCTCAGAATTCTACTTACATTCCTCTAAATTTGTGTGTATTCCTAAAGGAAAAATGGACTGAATATTGACTTTATTTAGTGGCGCTAAATTAAGACTGACCTAGGTGATGCCTCCCTCTTTCCTGGTAGAGACTGGCCCATCATCCTTTGCCATTCTACTCCTTCCTAGAAATGAACAAAAGCGGCAGCTCCGGAGAGCCTAATCCTGCCACATGCCTCTAGAGGGCAGTATAGCTGAACCAGTGAAGCCCAGTCTGGGGTAAAACAGGCAGTAACTGGAAA